GAGTGTTTCCCTACATTCCAACAAAGCATTCTGATAGGCCAGCCAGTTAAACCATGCGTTAGGAAGGCATCCAAAGCGCCGCGATTAAGTTGATAGATATCTTTGCGGCGTTGAGACTAACACCCACACACACACAGGTGCTGTTCTTTATGTCCGGCTGATATGACTCTGAGATGAGAGTTGAATGGATTACGGAGAAATGCCACTGTTGCGCAACAGTCATACTATCTTGTTGTAGGTGGTTGCGAGGTTTGTAGTGTTCACAATCACATCGCTCTCGTTTGAACAGTTGTCTTCCTGTCCTGACGTAAGGCGGGAAGCGCTGGACTCGAGTTTTGCTCTCATTAGAGCTCATCAGCAGTACATATCCCTGGCCAAACCGGGGTTTGAACTCCATACATCTGACACGCCAGGCGACAGCATTATCATTACTCCATCTATCAAGGTATAGCAAAACGCAGGAAAGCTTCACACAGCCCGTAATTAGGTTACCGGAGACTCTGCAGGTTCACACTAGAATGCTTGTGACGGGGCGAAGAGCGATAAGCAAGGAAAGCTTGGCTCTCAGACCCAACGCGATTGGGACTTTCCGGGACCATAACAAGTTACAACCGTTTTGGTGTTCGACTGACGATAGCTACAAAGCAGATGGATTCCACACTGATTTGCTCAGGTTACCAAGTGTGACAAATTCAGGGTGATGGCAACGGCCCATGAAATTTTTACCAGCCAGACATTCAGTACCCCAACGACTATCACAGTTTTATCTAAACTGGTACATCATTGCATTCACTTACCCGGAAGGCACCGTGAAAAAAATCCTAGCCATCTGGCGGACTTCTTGTTAGGCAGAATTCCGCATGGCCAGCAGTCAATTATGATCCAGCAAACGCCGACTGGCGGTTGCCAATGGCGCACCCAGAAGGCACCCGAATTTCCAGAAGGTTGTCGCAGCCTACACTTTACGAGCTCTGCAGGTATTTTTGACCTGGTTTTGGGCATTAATACACGTTTTGCACCTTCCGTGGTTGTATTAACGGCACTGCCAGCTTGAAAGGTTCAGACCGTGAACTAAACTGAGAAAACACGGTTTTACGCTTCCCTTCACGGATCCTCCATTCTTTTGAGACCCACTCCATTGTTCTCTTGATCGCATCTTCCTGGGGTAATGAGAAATCGCGCACCTGTTTTATTTTGTCCCCAAAGTTGCATCGACATGCTCGCAACGGAGCCACGAGTATTAACGTCAATTCCCTCAACGGAAAAGTACGTATTCATGAATGCGGGATGAAGGTAAAATAGCTACCGGACTAGAATGGCAACATCTTTGGGGACTTATTTCTGAGTACCCACTGAAGAGGTGAAAGCCCTTACTTTTGACCACAAAAGAACGATAGTCTACAACGTCGCTTGGAAGAACAGCATGGGTGAAGTCTGTGTGGTTGACCCTAAAAGACTGCCCCCTGACCACTTCCCGATTGGCTGAAAACGTCGAAACAGTTGGTCCGGGAACGCTAAAAACCACTCAGTTTCTGTATATTAAACTTGGATGAGTACTTGAAAGTATGGACAACACAAAATGACTGTGGGACCCTTTCCCGTCCGGTTTTTTTTCAAAATGTCAGTCTCATTAATCACATCTAGGATGATGATGACACTCCTAAGTGCAACCAAAAAAAACCCCAGAGAATTGTGATCCGCAAAGCCACTGATAATATAGCTTTTTTCGTCATTATTCACCGTATGGTTACAATAGTGAGATGACAAAAACAGAGCTGATGTGAATACTATCCACGGAATCCGTGCCTTCTTGAAGAAGAGTTACGAGGAGAGACTTACACTTAGGATGACATCGCTTTGGTCCCACAAGGGAGCTTTCTTGGAAACTTTCACCGAGTTAATTGACCTCTTATAGCTTAAACTGACCCAATTACGGCGTACGTCAGGTGAAGCGACAGTAACGTGCTCCTACTTGGGAGTTACAGTCAACCGTCTTTACTTAGCTCGTTGGGAACGAAAAAACGCATTAGTTTCTCCTTCGGCTAGTAGCGAACGTCAGAAGCAACGGTATCGCGAAGGGGCACAATTACCTAAATAAAACGCGGAGAGGCGTCTGGAAGGAATATCTCAGAGGTTTCAAAGAAGAGCACTGCATCGTAAGGTGACAAGGGATCACCAGAAAGGCACGCGACAGCTGTATTGCCATTAAGTCCTTTTGAGTGCGATGACACTGACGAAAATTTCTGACAGCGCCTCTGACGACCGAACGAATCTGATATAACAATACGCACTCGTTCCTACCGTTATTTGCCACAACGGCACCCTCGTCACATGCAGGTTCGTACGAAAGGATTCTGTGTTCCTACTAGCCTTTTCGAACTTCACTGATATTACGTAACTTCAGTCGGATTTACTCCGCCACACGGAGGGGGCGAGTTGCCACGGTAATAGCTGCTTTACGGCAACAATGCTTCCATTATCGACCGTATCGTTCCGTTCCACCTGCCATCGCTGGAGCATCAACCAAAAGTTGTACTTGTACGCTGGCAAATTTTATTACATGAACGATTATTCCAGTCAGCTGCATCAGAACGCCTGTTGGAACACGTAGCTTGGTCCAGCTCAATCCAGTAGCGCGCGTGGGCAGGGACAGTGATACTACAAATTGATTTCCCGACGTTATCAGATAAAAAGTTAAACCCATGATGCACGACCGGCATTACTAGTTTAACGCTAAATGTGGCTTTCTGCGTGATCAACGGGATCCCAGTAAATCAACGGAAACCGGCCGATTCACTGACAAAGAAAGTCAGCTCCCTTCGCAACTCTGCGACGAATGCCTGTCAACCAAAGGAGGCATAGACAAGGATGGGAAGGGAAGACGTCTACCCTGTAAACTTTGTCTGTGGGTTGAATGTAGTGATGTACCGCTCTTCAGGTAATTGATCTCACAGGCCTTTGTTGTTTCACTAGGATGCTCGGAAGTGATTTCCAACAACGCACGTGGATGTAGACGCGACAACTAAACGGTGTAATGTAGACGAAGACCTAATTAGTTGAAATGAATGATGAACATTCATCATCATCATCATCGTCGTCATCGTCAGCTGGAAGAAACGCGTACTTGTCCTACAGCGGTTGTAGCTGCCACAGTTTCGTTCACCGATGATTCGGGGAAGTGGGGTAGGTAGCTGCGCATTGGAGGCGGGAGCTGATAAATTAGCGCGTAAATACAGCACTGTCAGTGGACTGTTAATTGGGGAATTGGGAGGGGAGCTATGCATTGAAGGCAATAGCTTGGATGCAGGAGCGCTATCGAGGGCACGACTGGGTCATGTCTGACAATGTTTCTAACCATTGATGTGGCCCGTCTCCGGTTCCCCATCCAGGGCCGATGCTGAGAGCATGAATTGAGGAGATCGTCACAGTTTCCACGAACTGTACTTCACCAACTGTTCACGTCACGATCATGACAATAGCAACACCAATTGACACGGTGGTGAAAACGCCTATGTAACGCATACAACTTGACAAGCTCGGGTAGCTTGATCATGCCGTCCACCGAGAAAAACATCGTTTTCCGCACCAACTATTAGACAGGTAGAATGTGCAAAGAGACAAGAAAATCGAGAAGTCCACGCAACAATCGCTGTGCACAGCCGCTAATCGATAAGAATGCCATCCCTACTGTCGCCTACATACGGATATATTTTGACCGAGATTTCGTCCTGTAAATGAATCCAATCTATGGTGTACATCTGTTTCGTCCTAATTGAGAATTATAATCGTAGAATGTCTTCCCTTACAGGAGGAAATTTAATAGAGGGAACTACTCACAAGGTTGCTGAAAACTTCGCCACAGCAGTTACGCAGAAGTGGCAATGAGGAGGAGGAGGATGACGTCCGATTTCCGTCAAACCTTGATCGGTTTCCAGTCTGTCCTCACTGACAAATGTGACCATCGGCAGCCGCAACATCGGACTAAAAAACACGTGTGTCCTCATATGGGAGACCCATTACAGATAACTTTACATCTGTTGAACGCCAGGTATGCCGTCTTCCTGGATGGGGAATCAGAGACGGGCCATATCAATGGTTGGAGACATTGTCAGACATGGCCCAGTCGCGCTCTCAATGGCACTCATACATCCAAGCTATTGTCTTCAATGCATAGCTCCCTTCCCAATCCCTCCACTTAACGGACCACCTATAGCGCTGTATTTAAGCACTAATTTATCAGCTCCCACCTCCAAAGAGCAGGTATCTACGCCACCTTCTCGAATCGTTGGTGAACGAAACTGTGGCACGAAACTGTACAAGTACGCGGTTATTACAGCTGACAATGATGATGAGAGGACAACAATCTAAAACAGCTCACACCATTTTCTTGACTAAACAGTGACAGACGCTGCTCGCGAATTGTTGTAAAGAATCAAAATCGATCAAGTGTTTCTGCATTGGTCGGTTAAAGGTAAAAGTCCAGGTACGGAGCACTATCACGGCTTGATCTTGACACAAAGTCATCCACATGAAGCAACACTTTTTCGGGAAACAAGTGACATCTGAAGGAAAGCGGATAACACTAAACAGGTGTTTGAATCTATTAAATCAGTGCGAAGGGACGCTACCTGGTGGATGCTCTGCTCCAAGCTTTCGAGGACTCCGCACTTCTCAGAGGGCAAACAAGTAACTGGATCCGCATCAGCGAACATCGTCTCAGATGTCCTCCAAATAAAACAACATGCTGCATGAGGTTGCAGCTCACTCGCTTTCACTTGCATTCCCCTCAACCAGATATGGCTCTTACGCGAAGTTTTGGACTTCTGCATCAGTGTCCTTTCAAGAAAGGATGGGACACCATAAAAGTCCCAGTCACTTATGTGCAATAATAAAACGACGGCCACAAGAAGTTATTCCCCAGATGATGCAGTGATAAGTGATGGAGTGGAACACATGAAATTGTCGTGAACGGAATGTTGTTTCGCATCCCTTAGGGGTGACGTTTCTCCCGAAAATCAGAGACTGAATCAGATTAAATTTGTGCAATCACTAGGGAGGCGGTATTTATTCTGAGAAGCATCGCTCTGGCATCAACTGCTATGGATGGAATATGAAAGAGCAAGGCGTCCACGTATAGAAATCCTGCATTTTGTACTTCGTTCTCATTCCTCACAAGTGATATGGCCTGAAAGATTGTTGTTAGATTTTGTGCTGACTAAAAGCATGTGCGGATGCAAACGAACGACAGCTCGAAGGCCAGACAATCCACCAGGCCATCGGCAAACACACACGCACATACTACTGAACCACGATGACCGAGTGCCAGCACGTGACATACCGTAATACAAATCGATGGTACTAACAACTAGACGTATCAAAAAGGTGGCTAGTATGGAACAACCGACCAGCAGATTGAATGCGAAATGAACAACAGGCTTTCCGAGAGAACAAAAGACTAACAAGTTCGATTGTTTTGCTCTGGCACTTGAGCGAACAGCTACCTTTATGCCGGTTGTCAAAAACCAGGCCAGTAGATGCAAAATGACTGGTCGATAAAGAAGCAACGTTGGTACGCAGGGATGAATTTTGGCGCAACCTTGGAAGAAGACCGCTAAAAAAGAGCTTCAAGGACAACTGATATGAAGAACTATAGCGAAAAACTATTCACTATCACACAACTTTAGTAGATCCTCTAGGGGAAAAAGAGGTATTGTTTTCTCTTCAGTAACCTGCAGTAGAAAAGTGTAAACCGTCAAGAGTCAAAGTAATTTTGTTTCCAGGGTACCAAGAATTGCACCGGGACGGTCGTGCAATTCAGGTGAGTACCAGATTATGAGGATGCCGCTGTGTCTAGAATTATCAGGAAGGTCAGATTCCTGAAAGCAACCTCAGAACACCCGGAAGCTACTGCTCCACCAAAATCTCAACAGGAAAGCCGCCAAGCATCCAGACCAGTCAATCATTCAATCGATTCAGCAAAACCTGATGAGTGTTCTTGCACGCCACAGAAGCACGACCGAATGTGACCAGCGTTCAGGCTTTTCACAGAGGTACGATCGATGTTGACGGGTGTTCATTAACGCTTATCAAACAGCCTGGATCAATGTCAGAAAGTCCCCTTTAAATAGCGTGGGACCGTTGTAACTTTTGCTCTCGCACTCGTTTGTTCGGAATATAGAGGCTGTGTTCCCTTCTGTGAGTCTTTTTCTCCGGCATTAGGCACTGGAGCGGGTCAGCAGCAGATACCACAGATTGACGAATCAGCAGATATAACAAGGATCCGCTGGGACAAATAAGGTCTTGTTTACGGAGGTAATTCACTATACGACAACTAGGGTCCACGATCGTATCCACGCCACATCTGAGTTGCCGTAAGCTCATGGTAAGGAAACGCAACATCCGTTGACGAAAAAACACTACTAAGCATCAGGAAATATGTATTTGTTGAGCATCACATGGTATATGACAAGGTAACGTCGTCAGGTAAAAGCAAGGTCAACAACGTCGGTAAAGGTTGATGAAAACAACTAAAATGATGCAATAAAGGACATAAAAAGGTATAAGAATTCTAGTCGGACTACATGATCAGCGAAGAGAACCGAAAGGAAAGAGAAGAGCGAAGCAAAGAGAAAACTACGCGGTGGGGTCGTCGGATCAGAACGGTGGCGGTGGGTTTCACGGAGAACTGTGGATCTGCGCTCCCTGGTTGAATGCCCATAAAGTAAGGAGTGGGTCGGTTGGGCGCTGGGGGAGTTTACAACAATGTTATAAGCACAAAAGGTAGGAATATCAGTGATTGATGTGCTAGCCACAGAAACCGACAGTCGAAGAGTTCATGTGTTCGCATCGATTAGTTTACTTTTCCGCTGAATGGGAAACAAGAAAATGAGCATGAACGATGAGTGACGAACAAACGGAAGCTGTTACAAAAGGTAGTATAGTTTCGTCGCTGAGGGAATAAGCCATACAATGAAGCAAGGTGGTGTATCGACTACCAGTTGGGGCTCTTCGCTAGCGGGACTCAAGTTAGGTGATGACGGGGGCTAGCTAGAACCTTGTGAAGAGTTGTGCAATCCGAACGAACGAGGTATAAATCTGGTAGTGTTAACACTAGTGTAAATGGGCTTTAAATTGGTGTCCACGCCTTGCCCTTATTTTGACCAAAACCTACCTGCTTTCTCACCAGGATTGCCCATGCTGATGTTCAGAGGTCGTGAGATCACATGAGCTCACGTGATCCCCTCAGAATGAGCTCTAGCCTGGAACAGTGCACTACGACACTAGAAATCGAACAATCCAGCAAGACCAAACCATGCCCAGGTAGTCCTGTACGCGTCGAGTATCATAGTATGCAGCACACTACAATGTCATAGAGGCCTAGACAGGTAAATATGAAAGTATGACCTACAAATTCGATACCTGTTGGTATCAACTGAGTGAAATGTGAAAAAAAATCGATTATATGAGGTATAGAAATTGTGGTCAGTCATCATCATCGACAGCATGACATCAGTGTTCAACACCGATGCTTCACTGCCGTACAACTATGATTTATTTGAAAGCCTCATTGTAAAGAAAACAGTAAAGGTGGACGGTGAAGGCACTTGATGCCAGCTTACTACAATCATTCCGAGGTGCCTATATCTCCAGACACTCACTCAGGCAATCTGGATCGCCGCCGACATCGGTTGGCAGCCACATCTTGTATTATCTCCAACCAGGTACGGTGAGGATCACGCGGTCCCTATCCAGGAAATTGTGGCCAGTGTGACCAATGATGTGACATGACTGCGTAAAGCAGGTGGTAGCATGCATCGACCGGTAGTTACTTTCACTAGTGACTACTGGTAATGGCTGTCAAAGCCACCCTGAAATTCGCTTAGAGGAACAAGAGATCAAAGGAAACTGGAGACGATTTTGCATGGAGAGTGAGTAGCAGGTCCAACCAGCCCGACACGTGAGTCCAAATCACGTCGAATCAGCTCCATACATGAAACAAATCTCACTGCCGTTCGACCGGGAAGAATATATCAGAACAAACACTGTCAAATGGGCGAAACGTAGACACGGAAGTCGGAGTTGGATCCCTTAGCACCCGTGCAGGAGCGTCTCGAAGTATATGCAGTGCGCCAATATTGAAACCGAATCAAAACGTGCCGATCCTGTAAGGTGTCAAAAGTCATGCATCCAAAGAGTACATAACAGGTGAGACTTAGCTTGCAAGATATAAGAGATAGAAAGGATGTTTTTGACAACCCCTTCATATGTAGCGTTTTGTTTCGCTGAAGTATTGTACGCATGATGATGATGATAACTAATGCACTACGTGAATTCGCCTTCCAGGATGGGGACCACGTGATCCTCATTGCACCTGGTTGGAGACACTACAAGATATGGCTGCCAACCGATGTCAGTGGCGTTCTTGTTGTCAGTTTCTGTCCAGATCGCCTGAGTGAGTGTTTGGAGGTATAGGCACCCCGAAATGATTGTGGTAAGCTAGCACTAAGTCCCTTCCCCGTCCACCTTTATTCTTTTCTTTACGATAAGGCTTTCAAATAAATCATGGTTGTACGGCAGTGAAGCATCGGTGTTGAACACTGATGTCATGCTGTCGATGATGGTGACGTGAATTCGTGAAATCACGATTATGATCCCTAGGATGGGAGTCTAACGAAATTTGGTAAGAATTATGTTGACTACCTGTGAGCAGATTTCGAATCCTCTGTGGAACATTCACTTCGTTCAGCAAAACCTGAAAGCCCTGTCGCGAACGACCGGTGTAGAGCAACTACTTGGAAATTGTTGGGATCAGTGGAACAAAAAAAAACACATCTGTGACAAATCGCCTCTGTAGCACCACATGCCGGTTCTAGCTATCATTCGTCTTGCTTAAGTGGGCAAAACAGAGAACCAAGGACAAGGAACGATTGCGCAACCACTGTTTACCTCAGTCAAGTCCGGCTCTCAAACAACATGAGTACGACAACTGACTTACCTTTAATAAGAGGGCAATTTTCTTCAGCCTTGCGACGTTTGGCTTGGTGACGTTCGTACACCACAATCGTAATGAGAAGCACCAATAACTCCAAAGCTATTCCGACGGCCGGCCAGATAAACGCACTTTTACCTGTTGGGCGAAGCAAATCAATGCAGTCAGGTAGTGACCAAGGATGAGAAGTGCAGAACAAATGAACACCATCAAAGCCGACATATTTTCGAACGGGCTATTGTGCGCACAAACACCCTGGTTTTCAAAAAAAAACCAACCCCGGTAAATGCTGCATGGATTCCACCAAAGTTATGAAAAATATACAATGCACCCTCCCTACAAATGGGAGCTTTCCCTTGAAAGAAAAAATCTATCCAGGTACTGTGAACTTTCTTACCGCATTGATGGGTATGATATGAACAAACCAAAGTTAGGTCCCATCGGTTGCCCAGATGAACAGTTTGACAAATGCACATTCCGCGAAAAGGAGTGGTTCAAGAGCTTGCATGCACTTTGGCGAATCATACGACATAAGTTGAAATGTTGGCCCGACAGTGGTTTGACCCGGCGCTGTTCTGGTCAATGATGGAGAATACACTCCCCTAAAAAATATTCGTGGACTGCGTCGCTCAAATACAACTCAATTGAGTGAGTGAGTTAACTCACCTGTTGTAGTCCAGTTCATCGGAAGGCCACGCTATCATAAAATTTGTATCCATTGCTCAAATACGAGCTGTAAACTGTTTGGACCAAATACGGAGTACCACTATTCTACAAATATACGGTTTTCAAAGTTGCTCAATTGTAAAAGCGGTAACGCCGCAGCTCAGTTCTCAGTTTGGAGCCTCCACGCTGGTGTTTTCGGCACAAGGACCACCAAAGGTGCAAAATGTGTGCTAAACGCCCAAAACCAGGTCTAAAACATACGTAGGGGGAGTCGCACTCGAAGTGGATGAGGTGACAACATTCTAGAAATTCCGATACCTGCTGGACGTGCCATTGGTAAGCAGGCACAAGCAAGCAACCAGGTCTTCTGGCCAAGCGAAAGTGACTCAAGCTTCTTGGCCGTAAAAGTGCACAACTGCGAGCAGGATTCCGCCTAACATCAATACAGTATAGTTGGAGAATAAAGCATCCACGGAACCGTGGTTTGCCACGAGTACGCATCGCCCTCGTAAAGTTAGACAACACGACAGTCATCTACCGTTGGCTGCTCATCTCTATAAAACGTACTTCAGACTGCAAATCGAATTGGTCTCTCAGAGGAACGTTTTGCGGAGCACAAATCACAAATCATCACATCGGAGAATGGTCCTTTTCTTCAGTGAGACGGAGAGATATCCCTACAAGCGCACTGCTTCAGGAAACCACCTGAACGCCGAGATTTCCTCAAGGAAGGTAAGGATGACTAGCATCTCCGTACTAGCAATTATCATCATTGACGCAATATACTACTAACAAGTATAGGGGCGAGATGGACCAAGTGGTTAGTGCACGAATTTACTGACCGGAAGGTCCGTGGTTCGAACCCGACCTCTGCCTCTCGACCTCCCCTGTCTAGGCTTGGGTAACCTGGCAGTACCCCAGCGCTCGTGCTTCCTTCGTGCGGCATGGCAGCTAGGCACCGAACGGGTGCTACAACTGAACGATTCAACTTTTTTTGATCAAACATCATCAAACGACTATGATGGGAGGGGGCAATATGCCAAGGGTGGTATATAAAAAAGGCTCTCCCTATCACTATACCACCCCCGGGAACGGCTAGTTCAACAGAAGGTGGGATAGCAACTACCAAGGGACAGTGGAATGGTTCGGAAACGGAGGAAAATGTGTAACAACTTCTACAGTGAGGAGATTCCGCGAAGTACGAATACACCTTAGCATAATGATAAATAGATTGAGTGGAGAGTCCTTCAGCTGTAACATTCTTTACGTGCATAACTGCCATGTCACCAGAAGGAAGCGTGGGGGCTGAGATACTGCCAGGTTGCCCAAGCCTAGACAGGAGAGGTCGAGATGCAGAGATCGGGATTGAGGCACGAACCTTCCGGTCAGTAAATTCGCGCTCTAACCACAATTTTTTCATTGATGTCAAATTTAGGGTTTTAATTGAGATTTCCTCCACCATATGAAGTCAACCAATGCAAAAAACCCAATGAGCACTGGACATCTGTGTTACACCCTTGTTGAGAGTCACCAACAGTAGGCGTCCGAACGAATCTCTAGGGTGGCACCAACCCGCGACCTCTCGGTTAGCAGTGGAACACTGTAAGGTCAGGTCGTCAATGGCTGATGATCCAGAAAGAGTATAGCTCCGTTTGTCATTAGATTAAAAAATTCACACCACGTGGTCGAAAGTTGTACGGTTCCTCGAGTGACAACTGCTCAGAAGGAAGGTTCACGCAGCCTGTGAATTATTCGTTCGTTCAGTGTGACACTCAACCAAGGATAAACTTCATTGATATTGACAGATTAAGCGTATCTGATGAGATCTAGATTTAGGGGAGTAGTCAATAACCCCAATGAATTGTGATCACTCCCATCTGGTGTATTTTGGCGTCGCGTTCAACTGCATGTACTGTTAACCCACAGTGGACCGTATATCTCTTTCAGTACCTATTGAAGAAGCTACGCTTGCCGAAACCCGTCTAAACTATCCATACAAACACTGTGGAGATATTATGATTTCAGGTTGAACGGATATAGACTAGAATTCGTGGCTGAGTGGAGATCCAGGAAAGAAAACAGCTAATGTATTACTCGTTTTAAATTCAACGACAATCTCCTTTTAGTCGTCCCAGTGCTGTTTTTACTCTGAACAAATCACAGGTAGTAGAAACCCAGTGTTTTGACACAAGAACGAGGGATGAAATACGAAATCTCATCAAAAACAGTCCATTTATAACAGTTCTCTCGGTCTCTGAGTGGTTAGTGTTCCAGTTCAAGAAATGGATCGTAGTCACTCAAAAACAGGAGGGATACGGAAAAGGTCAGGTAGTTTTGCTGAGAAACAACGATTATTTTGGGCATGAGTAGAAAATGTGACCTACACAAGAAGTTGAAGTGAGAATCACGCCAAATAGGTGATTGAAATATTAGTAATAATAATAATAATAATAATAATAATAATAATAATCGTTCAGCTGTAGCGCCCTTTCGGTGCCTAACTGCCATGCCACCCGAAGGTTGCACGAGGGCTGGGATACTGCCAGGTCTCCCAAGGCTAGACAAGGGAAATCGAGAGGCAGAGGTCGGGTGCGAACCGCGGACCTTCCGGTCAGCAAATTCGCGCTCTAACCACTTGAGCTATCAAATAGTGCACTTCGGGGAACACGTCACCGTGTAATGGAGCACCACTACTGATGAGCCGTTCGGGCTACTTAATGGCTAGAACGGTGCTGTGGCAAGTACCAGAAGATTAGGCCTCAGAAAAAATCAAATAGTAAGTGTGACAGTAGACATTGCTGGGTAACCGGGGGATTCTTCAACCCCGCCACATCGAACCTCATCCTGCAAGCAAACTCAATCTACGACGAGAAGGCTGAAAGCGCCGTCGTACAGCTGCTTCCTGGCTAGAGATCATCATCAGTGACTGTGTAAGGAAACTTTAGATCAATGAGAAATCCGCAAACTCCCGAGTATAAATCCGAACGTTTCATAACTGAGCAATCGGTGGCTGAAAAATTTGTGCTGAAGCGGGATATAATCATGTAGTTCAGGTCATGTGATTCGATACTGCCCCCCTGTTCGAGTGACGATGTAGCAGATTTCCGAGTACCTGATAAATGCCAAATTCCAGTCTGTTCATAGCACAGAAATTGTTGAAACTTATATCCCCCAATGAAAAAGGACTTGGGGTGATTATCATATGGGACAGTACTGGAGGTAGAATAAGAAACCTACTGAGAGATTGTAAGCCCAAAGAAACAGATCGTGACCTCACCTTTGATACGAACATCAAAAAGCTGAGTGTCTGAACCACGAGGTGACCTCGCAGTGCACAAGTAGGGTCCGCTGACGTGCGTTGCATCCTGCCATTCCATGACTGCATTTTGCACACCGTCCTTGGCTGTGAAAGTGGCCTGCGAGAAGAAACGGTATGAAAGAATTGGGCGTACAATGAAAATCCAAAATAATTAATTCAGATATCGACCGACACGCTTGACCTGAAGCGAACAGCCGATAATTTACGTTTAGCTCTACCGAGATTTTTCTATTCACCGTACGGATGAACAGCACTAATATTGACAGAGCAAAGTTCAACAACGGGAGGGTAGTGTTGGCAATTTTATGCGAGCGGGTCACTTAAGACCATCAGTAACAAAACAAGAGATTTTCCCATAACGACTAATCACAAATCGATAATGATGATAGACGTGCTCGAGAAAGTGCATGTCATGCGGAATCGAAAATATGCGCGACCATAAGATTCATCATGCACTTCTTAAACTAAACACACAAGCATCATCGTCAGCTATAGGAACTGTGTGCTTGTACAGCGGTTATGGCTGCCACAGTTTCGTTCACCGATAATTTGGGGAGATAGGGTAGGTATAACTGCGCAAAGAAACGGTAGATGATTGATGCGTAAATACAGACTTGTCAGTGGACTTTTAATTAGGGAGACTAGAAGGGGAGCTATGCATCGGAAGCAATAGCTTAGATGCGCGACTGGGCCATGTGTGACAGTGTGTCCAAGCATTGATGTGGCCCGTCTCGGGGTATCTATCCAAGGAGACAGCAATGGCCAGCAAGCTGAGTTCGCTGGTAATGGCTTTCATACTTCGCTGCCACGTCAGTGATTGACCTCCCCTGGCTCGCTCCCACCCTTCACGTGGTTGTGCGAAAAGAACCCTTCGAGGAAGTCAGCTGACTGGCAAATGAGGCCCAAGGCGAGTTAATTATTCCGAAAACTATGTGACGATTTCAGCATTGCTAATCCGCTGTTCCCACCAGACCCGGACAATGCTCCGAGGGCATCGATGGTCAAACACTGAAAAACTTCTGACAACCTCGGCGAGTAGCGGTCAGGTTTCCAACGCATATAGTAATATGCATCGCACCGCAGTTTTGTAAAGTCCACCCTTGACGGTTAAGCTGATGTCATGCCTACGCCACACGTGACGCAGGTTTACGAAGGCGGCTTTGGTCTTTTCACTCCGGTTGGAAATATCATCAATCGTGAGACCAGCGGGACTGATACAGATGCCTAGGTAAACACATTCGTCTACTACCTAAATCGGTTCATCCGCAAGCATGAGACTAGGGTTCGAGCCCACCCAGTCTTGCAGTAGCACTTTACACTTTGCAGGTGTGAAGCGCATGCCGAACCTCGAGGCAGAATTATTTAGATTATCTAATATTGTTTGCATTACCAAGGGATCAGATCCAAGAGGAGCTATGTCGTCTGCGAGCGGAGGCCCAGGGAGCACTTCGACCCCACAGGCATTAGAGCCTGGTAGTGAGACTTCCATGATCGTATCACTGACGAAGTTGAAGAGGAAAGGTGAGAGAGGTCAGCCCTGTCGGACACCACTGGATGTGGTGAACTCAGGAGAGTGCTTCCCGTAGACCTTTACACGGCCGCGGGATTCAGCGTACAGCGCCCTAATGAGGGTCAACAAGTTATGGGGGACACCTTTGCTCCACAGACACTGCCATAGTGCTTGGCGGTCCACGAAGTCAAAGGCAGCTTTCAGATCAAGAAACATAACTATTGTTGGCTGTTGGAAGCAGTGTCGCTGTTCCAGAATCTGTCGGGGGGTGAAGATATGATCGATGCAACCTCTTGCAGGACGGAACCCAACTTGGTTTTAGCGGATCCGTCACTCCCTGTGTTCAGCCAACCTTCGAAGGATAAGGCCAGAGAGCACCTTCGATGCCACAGCTAACAGCCTGATGTCACGGTGGTTTTTACATTGCACCCGCGTACCCTTTTTGAAGATAGGGATAACTGTCGACATGCCCCATTCTCCGGGCACTCTCTTCGTCCCATATAGCACCAATAAGCTTTGTCAGAAGGGTCACCAGGGAGTGTTCACCTTTGAAGAGGGCTGGATGTAGACCGTCCGGTCCTGATGCCTTCTCACGTTTCAGTACGGCTATTTCGTACCTTATTTCTTATTCCGAAGGGTGATCAAGGTTTACATTCCATTCGGTCGTATGCATTATCTCCACAGGCTGTGTTCCAGGAGGCCAGCTGAACTGCTCTTCGAAGTGTTCGGCCAATCTTTCCGGTCAACGTTTTTGCGAGTGAATTAATGAGCCATATTTTTAACTTGTCGTTTCGCTGACCGTTGCTTTCCTGGGGCTGTAACACCCTAGCTGCCTAGCTGCCATGCCACCCGAAGGAAGCACAAGGGCTGGGATACTGCCAGGTAGCCCAAGCCTAGACAGGGAAAGTGGAGAAGCAGAGGTCTGGTTTGAATCACGGACCTTCCGTCCAGTAAATTCGCGCTCTATGCACTTGAGCCATCAACCCGAAAGGCTGAATCGAAATGACATTGACCTGAGCACCGACCTCATTGCACTGTTTCAGATGCATCTGAAGTCAGAATGGAAAGAGATCAAGCAGGGATATCCCGTTGGTAGTATGAGAAAATTCGAGAATTTTTAATAGAGATCTTATCCTATAAGTCAAGCCAGTCTACAACAAAAGACCAAGAAGCACTGTAGAGTTGAGTCATCTTTGTTATTACGAACCATCAGCAGTGCATATCTCACGAAACTCCTGCGCGAGTATCAAACCCGCGACTTCCTGATTGGTAGTTGGAACGCTTAACCGATCGGACACGAGCAGCCACTCGTGTTCAAACCACCAGTCGGGAGGTGGCGGACTCGATACTCCCAGGAGTTTCGTGAGATCCACAGCAAGGACGAACCAGATGCTTCTCAGCTTTTCAGCGTAGGTTGACTTCACTTGTGGGACCAAGTCTCCAAGAAGTAAGTGGTATTCTGCAGAGTTTAGTTCCTGAAGGTCTGTCAACAGTAAGCCCATTCTTAAGAAATACGTAGTCGGTAGAACTGTTCGGCTACGATCCAAAAAACCGGAAGACAGTGTCCCTGCTAGCAAAACATCGCATATTTACATATATCATGACGAATTTGAGAGCGAGTCAGTAAGAGACAGACGATCAAACGAAAAACCAGTGACAGTGTAAAGAATAGTACAAGGACAAAATTGACAGCGTTTAACGTGAATACCAGTTGAAGTTGTGATCCTGAAGGAATTCGATTACGCAAAGAATTAGGCCATGCGTTAGGCCAAGCGCTGTTCCGTAGCAAAAAACGGCATGTATGTTTATAACATAAAGTTCTTCCACTGAAGACACAGAACGGAAATTTCAAGAAAAATCGGGCTCACATTTACTACTGGAACCAACTGACTGCCTTGTTCCGATACAAGCACTCGTTTCCACATAACTTCCGACGGAAGTGGGTACGATTCCAGTTCACACTCGACGGTCAACGATTCACCTTCATTCGCCCGAACGGCTCCCAAACGAGTACGGATAATTGGCGGGGCTTTTGATCGGAAATAGAGAACACATCTTAACGCCTGAGGAGAATGAGTTTCATTCATTAACGACTCCAAGAACAAGTAAAACACAGACATTGTGACAGCATCGAATATACGTCACAAAATAGGAGAGCCTCGGAGTTCAAGTATACTCCGAAAAAATGGTAAATCTAAGAAACCACGTGGCAAGGAGGATTTTGAGTACCTTCCCACATTATCCACAGAGGTTCCACCGTCTAGCCACTTGGCGCCTTATAAGGCATGCCACTTGAAAGCACTCGGCTCGGTTTCTCACTTTCTGTACTATGGGACCAAGAAGTTTAGGCCAAAGCGTGCAGTGAATAGCTAACGCAAATGCGATCAGGTGTTATCCCATTTTTTGTACTCGCATCCGTGTTAAGTCGAGATCTGCATTGCTACTCAATCTAGACCTGTTGCTATGACAGGAGAATGGCTGCAATCAGACCGGCCAATGGAACAGGCGATAATGCACAAGTTGTAATCCACAGTGATGTGGCTGAGGGGTCACAAGAAATCAAAGGCAAGCCACACTGCGACATTGAATAAAACTAAAACAGTGCAGGAATCGTTTGATTTTCGATGACATCTATGGGTATCATCTGTCCGTCCAGCGGGTATTGGGAAATGAGCTGAGGCAATACCGTTATTACAGAAGGGGGCTCGGACTAGCGTTTATCTCTTCCAAAGAATCTATGATGTAGGTTTAAAAAACTGCCAAAGTTTAAGGAAGGGCACGGAAAAGAGCTGGACATGACGGCATCCCGGAGAGGAAATGAATTTGTCTTTCTGTATAGCGTCTTGGGGGATAGTGAACTGTTTCACCGGCAATCTTTCCAGGTGGCCTTTTTTCGAAACATATATTCCTCCAGACCTGTATTGCTCTGCCATACAGATAACCTACGGGATTCCGCTTGAGCTGCAAAGGGATAATCTGCGAAAACGTATCTACTCATCTCTCCATGTTTGTCTGCGATACATGGAATACAGTCGATCAACTGCATGCTCTGTGGATAAATTTGGTAAAATCGGGCGTGTGACGTGAACACAAAGACATTCATGTTTGCTTTCATCTCGAAAGCCTTTCGATTTTACACCGAGATGTCATTATGACCATCAGAAAGCACGGAGATCGGTGCTGACACGTGTTTCACTGCCGTACAACCACATGGTTTATTTATTTACTTATTTATTCATTCATTTATTTATTTGAAGCCTAAAAGTGGAGAGGGAAAAGACTGGAAAGGGAAGGAACCTGGTGCTATCTTACGCAAGTGTTCTGAGGTGACCACACCTCCAAAGGCCAGGTCAAACAATCTGGAAAGAAACTAACAAAAGGGGCCCCACTGACACCATGATATGGGCTTCGTTAGTTGGGGGACTGGGGAGGAGAGAGGCGTACCCCGAAGGTAACAGTTTAAATCCGTCAAGGACGCAACAGTGTTAAGTTTGACACGCGATGTCCAGATCACGCAGGAAACAGCTAGGTGTGCACTGACAAAAATGATGCAGATAACTGTGTCAAGTTTCAAGGGGTTTAGCTTCCAGCCTCTGGTGAGTCATTGCAACATCATTCACTATGAGGACGCAGGGGATGCGTGTGCAGTACAATGAATTCAGTAGAACGCGAACTTTATGAAGCAGCTATCAACTTGCCTTCAATGAAGCATACCGCCACGTGTTCTTGTTTATCTTCGGTGTGAACGGTAAGTGTCCAATTCCCAGTTACACGGGCAGCTAATAACGAAAAGGCAACGGATGAATAGGGGTGCAAGTATTTTGGCACACATCACAGAAAAGTGAAGTATACAAAAACGATCACCTGTTTTGGCCAGTTTTTGGCAAGAAAACAGCACAGAGTACATAAAATCCCCAGAGAATCATTTAGCTGCAAGTGAGATTCCACTTCCACCACTAGAACAGAGGAGTTCTTACGCGAAACGGTCCATCTGCAGACCGAAGCATCTGCCCCGGTTCACCAAACTGTCAACCGAAATGGACAACTATCCGTCTGTTGACTAGCAGTCAAATTTCAAGTTTCAACAAAAGAAACAACAAGTGAACGGAGGGTGACAGCACCCTAAATTAAATCAACAGCTGTGTCAGGAGTAATGCTTTCAAGGTGTTTGAGAATGTTCTAAACGAATGAACGCAAGTTTGCCCACAGCGCACGTTAAAATCTGATAGGCTATTGATACCCAACCAATTAGAGCTAGCGTTGACACTGGTTAATCCTGAAGGCTACGCTGACTGACTACTGCGACCGCATGGCCTCGAAAAGAAACTAAAAATCGACGTTGGTGAACCACCCTTTCGGTTCCTAACCGCCATGCCACCCGAAGGAAGCACGAGGGCTGGGATACTTCCAACTTGCCCAAGCCTAGACAGGAGAAGTCGAGAGGCGGAGGTCGGGTTCGAACCACGAAACTTCCGGTGAGCAAATTCGCGCTCTAGCCACTTGAGCCAACTCGCCCGTTTTAGCACGCTTTGCATGTGGTATCTAGTAAACTTGAGTAAACCCGAGTAAACTTGAGGTCCACCGCCTTGCCTTCAAAATGAGAAAATTCACGCGACTTCTTCAATAAGGGCTTACAGTTATTCTTCACGCCCGACAGTGTGTACTCTTGGACTGTAGTAGTGCAAGCCACGGCAGATCCGGCACGCGCTTCAAACGGTTGTCCTACCCTGGTTGTTGGCTGTTTGTTCACCATGCTGCCCGTCTAAGCATTTCTATTTAAGGTCACACTATCGCAAAATATTGCAGAATATTACTAGTTGTAGCGGAATAGTAAGTCTATATGGTATGAAGTAAAACTGAGCTGACTGAAGGCTAGCAACAGGTTTTGTGTGCTTGACCGTCATCATCATCCTCATCGACAGCATGACATCAGTGTTCAACACCGATGCTTCACTGCCATACAACCATGATTTATTTGAAAGCCTTATTGTAAAGAAAAAAATAAAGGTGGACGGGGAAGGGACTTAGTGCTTGACTGTCGACCCTGCATACACCAGTACAGAGAAAGCACCGCATTCTACCCGGCGCAAACTGATTGTGGTTCACCAATTGCGCGCAGGCATCCGGTGGCGGGAAAAACTTTGGCAGAAATGGAGAATCTTTGGGGAAATTGTGGCGAAAGAGCTGAAGGATAGTGTAGAGGAAGATGGTATCCGGTACAGATACTCGCACTATACAACTGAGCCGACAGAACCAGGAAACTGATCCATCCGTTTTCCACACCTGACTACAGTAGTTCTACAGGGGAACATCCTGATCTTAGAGTTGACTGGATAACAAGACGCCATACAAGATCGGATTGGAGAGACTTGGTGTAGTCTCTAAGGAATCGGGGCGCGTTAACCGGTTTGAGCGTTGTTGTGGACTACAATTTCCTGAACGTTCTCTAGATATCGTGAACCCGAGCCTGGATAGCCGCTTGATAGCCTGATGAGTTTAGCCAAACCAGAAAGGCCAATGAACGTGCGAATCAGCTGATCTATTGAACACTGACGCGCACAGGCGTGCCGTGAGCAGCCGAAAATGGATTGTCCATAAAGCTCACGTAGACAGTTCTAGGCGGGTCAAAAATGATACTGAAAATAGAACTCATCTGTCAACGACAATTGAAGAACAACCAAGTGAATCTGTGCCAATGAAAACGGTTATTCCATTGGCAGTTGTGTAGTCTAGTTACGTTCGAAGCTGAATCTCCTAATATGCGCTTACTTATTAGTCATTTACTCATAAAAGATTTCCTTTAGTGCCTCATGACAGCAGTCCAAATATGGAGTGTGGTTAAATAAGCAAATCAGAAAACCATTGCTTACTCGGAAGCGGTATATGCAACTCCACAAGAAACACGGGTCCTCGACGTTCGACTTTGTACCAAACTTCGTGACCATCGCCATTGCCTTCCTCCACTTTGACGGTTTGTCCATTGTGTGCCCAAGTGACATAGTCGACCTGGAGGAAAAAAATAACAGCTGGCATCAGCTGATAAACATCTGTGTTTCTTAACCTGCTTAGTTCATCCTGGTCTATGGCTCCATGGAATTGCCCCTGGCAAAAATGCATATTAGGCAAATTGTTCAGTGTTTAAAAATAGCTAATAGTCTTACAGACGTAACACCTTTTCGGCGCCATTTCATCCGCGGGAAGTGCGAGGGCTGAGTTACTGCCAGGTTGCCCAGGAACAGTCGAGATGCCTGGGTCGGACACCAGTGTACATAGCAATTTCACCGGGCGAAACTGTCTGGTGTTTCGAACACCCTCAAATATTCTGCACAGTACCAGAGCCAGTAAAGAGGAGGCCATGAAAGATCACGCAACGCGAGAAGCTATCATAATTCTCATGAGTGACTTGAGGACACCAATATAACGGCAGCAAATAGTGGTGCTTAAGGATGGGATAAGTGTTCTAGTGAAGAGTGGAAGGAAAGGGGAGGTGTCAAGGGTGTGGCAGAGGGAGTCGTATGACGCTGCGGAGACCAACTACATCTCGGAACAGCAACCGGATAAACGCATCTGAGCATCGTACCACATCCCATTCGTGGGACTGACCCAAGATTCTTGGTGAACCTCACCCAACCTCAGTCCAGCAGACGACAGACAAACTTTGGCTACGCTGTCCGACTAGGAAGTGGCAGCATATCCACCACTAAGACCGGTTATCTACACAAATCGTTTTATTTATTTGGCTTTTACACCAAGAGTTCCACACCGAAAGGAGTGTTCGGGGGCCAGCCGTCCCTAATAACCGAACAGCACATCATTTGGACGGATGTGTCACGTGCAGGACACGGGCTAGATGAAGACATGCCCTGATTGGTCAGAATGCCAGTCAATCCGAGTCAAGCACCTTTGACTCGACGCTTCTCACGGACATTCTGGCACGACCTTGTGGAACACTCTGTGACTACCCTATAAATACAGTCGTAATGATTTTCCTTTGTCTCCATAAAGGGCTGTGTAGAGCTACCGTCCCTTTTAATATACCATAGTGGGCGGAGNGCAAGGAAGCCAAGGGACCGATGCAGAGTTGCACGACCGTACATCAAGACACAACTAGAAGGAAAACCGCCACTCGAAAAATTGGCACCTCCAAATCAGGTTTTTCCAAATTTGCTTTTTCACATAAACAGAGAGCACCGTGTGCGGAATTAGACAACCAAGTACGAATGAAAATGGTGTTAACGGGAGTCTAAATTCAATCCCCCATTTACAACGAACTCCAAAAATACGAAAGCGGTGGTGGGCTGTCGAAGTGTTCCAACCAACCCTGTGGAAGACTGAAATGTTGACGTAATCCTACCTTATGCATCGAGTGCCAACTTTCCATGATTAAATATGCATTACTTACCTCGGGGCTGTTAGATCTAACCTCGTAGGACACTTGAGCCGGCACCGAGCGATTGACTAACAATTTGTCGAACTTGATTCCCTTTTGCTCAACTGGCTGGATATACACGCTCAATTGACCATTGCTGCGGCAAATAGCTGGACGAAAAAACAGAGCGAAAGATTGCAGTTACTATCCGGGGTACGGTAACCTAAGCAATGTCTGGAGCCTTTTTAAACTTTTCAAAAAAACTGACGTATACGAAAGTTATACGTAGGATACAATACCACAATCGGCCTTATCGTCGGTCCGTGAAATTTCGTGGAAAGTGGAAAAAAACAAGAAAAATTTTAAAACGTGAGCTCTCGTCGGGAAATACATAAGGCGTCTATTTTTCCAGCAAAAATCGCGGAAATGATAAGTCGTATATGATTATCGAAACAATATGTAGCTACCTGACATTCTGCGAAGAAACAGCTCAAACCCAAATCGATTGCATGAGGTTTGACTCAACAGGTGACAGATATCACACATCACAAACCAGGCTTTGTTAGGTCCCTAATAATTGGCCGTTCGTCACCTGCCATTGGCTTGATTATAGACCTTAGTCTTGTTACTAAGTGGCATCCCCACCTACCTGTCAGGAAGGCCCACTTGCTTGCATTCTAACTCATGGAAGAGTAATAGTGCCTGGTTGACTATGCAGAAGGCGCTCTGTTTTCAGTACACAAGGAATACATGCATGCGAGTAAATAAACCACGCAATTAGCTGGTTCGTGATAATCGTCCCAGAGTTCTGTTAAATTCTTGCCATCAAAAACTCTTCATATACCTGATGCACACGATAAAAACTTGTGCGATATCAAGGCTTGAGAAATAGTGGATCGACATCGTCTGTTGTGGTTAGCATTTATGGTAATATCGCAATCTCTCGAGGAAACCAGTTTCGGCTCGTTCCTTGAAGTTTAGGACGATGGACAGTTTGTCCTAACTCGGATGCGTTATTCTCCAGAAGAGACGAGAAATTTTCTTCAACCCCACTGACCCAATATGCAACGAGGTGTTTTGCTTTCTCCAATATTCCCAAGATTACCCTGTGTGCAATACGTGGAATATGGACGAGACCAGTTATTAGCTATCCCTCCTACTGTCGTCTTGAATTGCTGGGCAAGTTGCTCCATTCGAGGTGATCAGCCCGAAAGCCGTATACATGTTTGTTTTCATCCGATAGATTACTGCTGTTTGAGGATTGCTGCGGGTGGTTAGAAGCAGATCCGTAGCAAAACAGTGGCTATTTTGTTACCAGTGAACATTAGGTCGGAGCTGATTAACAGCCATGATGCTGTCTTATTGCCTGTAACTCGTAATTCAAGTTACGCAATTACTGAATGTCACAAGTAGTTGTTACGATAGTAGAGAGTAGGTGAGGTGCGTAAATCCTTAAAACGAGCTAGAACAGTTTTCCAGTGGAAATTGGATTTAGAGCGAACAAAACACAACCTTGTCGGCCTTATCTTATTCACACACGCGTGACGCTCCCACACAGAAGGGTCCCTTGACTGTATATCTACCGCAACAATTGAGGGAAATTGTCTGAGGTTCAACGAGAAGGTATGATGCAAAATAGATGGATTTTGCTTTGACCAGCCACAACAATCAGGCTAGTGATATAAAGTAAAGTCGCTTATCAGATTTGTCATTCATTCTCATGGGGAATCTGACAACTGCTGAGCAGAAAATACTCCTAGTAAAGATGTGATCACACCCTACAAAGCTCAGACAAGAATCTCCTGGAGGATAGTGAGAACCTTTCCGTACGATGCGATGCTGTGGTGCTACTGTCCTGGAGGAATCCCGCATGCAGACCTAGACCGCGCCACCTAATCTGCATTCAAGGAACTCACAGGATATAAGGAAAAGGTTACGGGGCTGGCGATAAATCTATAACGAAAGCGATCCCGTCAAAATAAACCAGAGATATCCAGGTTGAATCCCCTTTGCGTGAAATTCCTCTTACGTTATGCTGGTAGGAACCCATTGCAAGCAACAAAAGAACGAAAAAGAGGCATACCGCGACCGCCAAAGAACTCGACGAACCCAAAGACAGTTGTGCCACAAAAGGTCATAATGCGACCAGATACATACACACTACTACGGAAATCAAAGGTTCAACCAGCGATGCTACCCCCAGAAGACGTTTACCTTCGGCTAAAAAAATCCACCTGAACAAGGCGAGAGGGCCGGGTAGGATACGGTCGCCACCTGAGCTACCGACATTCTCCTCTATAGAAAATGGTTGTTGGTGTTAAAGCACACATCTCGAAAATCTCCGTTCCACTTTATCAGTCTTCAGTCTTGGAATTATCGGGCTCGAGATAGCTCCGTGGTTAAGGCGAGACCTTACTGATCAGAAGGTTTGTAGTTCGAACCCGACCTCGGCATCTTGATTGCTCCTGTCTAGGCTTGGGCAACCCAGCATAATTTCAGCCCCGGTTCATCCTTTGGGTTGTATTGCAGATAGTTACAGGTGAACGATTGTTATGTTATTAAGTGTGTTGCCGACGGATTGCAAGTTGCTGAAATAAATCCCATACCCGAAACCTGTCAACCTGGTGACCCGCAGAAATTTTGTCGAATCTCATGATCTCCCACTTTGTTGAAAGTCCTACAGAGACTAGTTCTTGGCATCACAAAACCTTCATTGAGTGCATTCAAGGATATAGATCATCTGACACAAGACAGGCGTAGACCTGGTACGGATACGATGACCTGTCTCTATCACTAAATTTAGAAGTCAGGACAGAGTAATTCCGGGCTTTTTCACGGCAGTACGTTCGGTTCGATCGATCGAAAACATCCGTTGCACGAATATTTCAAAACGAACATCGAAAAAAACATTCCGTTCCACTTAAACAACTACTTTACTGGCCGGAAGCTCATATGGGCAGAAATTCATCGAAGACTCTGGCCAACGGATTTGGTGTGTCGCAAGAAGCTGTAATGTCACCGTTTTCATTCCCCTCTCAAAACGGGCTCTTTTAAACTTGATGAACAGCACACTCTGATAAAATATGCCGGTATTGAGGCCGACGGAACATGTTCCACACCGCTGGACACCCACCTGTTTGAGTAGGATATTAAGGCCGCACGTCAGTGGAAACACGATATCCCGCTACAGCTTAACCCACCAAGACGGAGAGTTTGTGTACACATTTAGGTAGCGTAGACATTTTCACATCCACTTTGTTCCCAAATAGTATCAACGATCACCCACTATCTACCTAATTATAGAAAATATCTAAGTGCAATGGCCTCCACCGAAATGGGACATCATAAATATGCTTATGGAGTATTCCTTAGAATCTGAAGACTGAGTTACTTCATAAGATAACGTCCTTCCCCAAATATGCTAAACCTCCCCCCAAAGAAACTGGGTCTTACCATGGTACGACGGTTTGTGTGCCTCCGTGACCCACTGAACTATGCTGGGTGGTGTCCATGCGATACTCAGAGATTCCCTCAAACCAGGTTGGTCAATGGTTAGAGGTCTGAAAAAGCAGTCTCCTGGCCCTCCAGGTTGAGGAACGGAACATGTGTGGCGACTCTTTCTATAAAAATGGTATTGCACTCGCACTTCTCACCAAACACCGAGGCCTTGCGGTTACGCTTTTGAGCCGAAGGCTTTGGTTGAAGACCCCACTTGTCAAGGTCTTGGAACGCTGGCAGTTATCTCAACCCAGATACAACCATGAACCTTGCAGTCAAGAAATTATTTGATGCTACATTGGCCATCACGTGATGTTACCAGCCGCGTTGCCTTACTTGCTGCATATAACAGTGTGGATAAGCGAAAACATGCTACTGCTGACGCATGTCGTCTTACACTTTCAAGTATCCCTTTTCTACCCCACCCTGCCCACGTTTGAATACCATATCCGAAGGTCCCGACACTGGAACTGACCGCATTGTTCAACGTGTATCACACTTAGCTGCAGCATCTGTATCTGGATTCCCTCTACATTGATATATGCTGCCTGTCGAAAGCACTTTAATTGAACTGACCGCCTTCTCGCTCTATTCCAGGTTCCGGCTGCGCACCTTTGGTGATGCAGCAGCCTCTGCAACTAGATAAGCCGGTTGTTGTCATGAGCGGCCGAGCAGAAGCGTCACCATTTGAATGGATACCGATTGATAGTCACCGCCGCGTGGTTCGCTAGGCAAAGTCTGTGAGGGCATCTCGAGAAAGTGCGGGTCATCGCAACCTGTTCATTGTCTGCTTAGGCCCAAACGGAGTGTAGTTCCGAATCAGCCAGACAATTTCTATGACACACGAAGTGTTCGTTTAAAACGGGCTAAAAACGTAGGCACCGTTGTGGCCGCTGTTGACACGAATTCCTAGGTGGGTAGACGAAGTGCTGCTGAGGCCAAATTGGGTGGCCGTCTTGGGTTGAATCGGATAGGAGACGCACGGACAACGGAAATCGTCTAATTCAAATGCGTTCCCTTGCAGTACCGATTTCCCGAAAAGCGAGAATCGCTTTACCGCGTGGTCATCATCATGATCATCGTCAGCTGTAGGAACCGCGTACTTGCCACAGCTTCATTCACCGATGATTTGGGGAGGTGGGGTAGGTAGCTGCGCAATGGAGGCGGGAGCTGGTAAATTGGTGTGTAAAAACAGCACTGTCAGTGGGATGTTATTTGGGTGGGTTGGGAAGAGAGCTATGCATTGAAGGCAATAGCTTGGATGCATGAGCGCCATTGTGGGCGTGACTGGGCCATGTCTGACAATCTCTATTTGTAGTTCGTTTTAGGGTCCCCGTCCAGGAATATGGCAATGACCACAGCAGCTGAGCTTGCTGGCAACAGTTTATATACTTCGCTACCAAATCATTGTTTGACCACCTCTGACTCGTTCCTACCCTTCACGTGGTTGTGCGAAAAGAACCCTTCGAGGAAGTCGGTCGACTGGCATACGCAGCACGTGGCCAAACCAGCACAAACTATGAAGTGTGATCAGTCCATCGATCGAGGGTGAGTTAGTTCTTCCGAATGCCATTCGATGTACTTCACCATAGCTGATCCGGTGTTCCCACCAGACCCTGGCAATGCTCCAAAGACATTGATGGTCAAATACTGAGAGTATTCTGACGTTCTC